TACCCCAACCCTCTTTCTCTGGCCAAGTATGCGAACCACAAGATAACATTCACTTCCACTGGTATTTGCCTTGTAGCGTTGGAACACAACACCACTGGAATATAAGAGCTTCACAAACATAACACACCTACAGAAAAAGTTTGTTACTGTATGAGTAGGTGAACAACACAAGTACCCAACAAAACAGAAAAATTAAATACTGCTTTAGTAGCCAAAACACACATAACTGTTATGCTTACGGTAACCGAGTGGTTTGAGAAACAAGTATTTGTATCCTTTCTCCTCTCCCCAAGTTTATTTACTTTTCAGTTTCTCAGTCCTGTCTCTGGATGCTTGCACTAATTGCTTAGGACCTTGTATAAACAGAAGCAGGGAAAAAGAAAACAAGCTCTAAAATAGTGATCAAGAGGATTGGAAAAGCTGTTAACATTAGCTAATAGAAACCAACTTAACATCTGAAACAAGCTTAAGCTTGTTCTTAAAGAGAGTGGCTTTCAAATGGGCTGCATTCCATCAACACTGCTTGCTACTCAATGGTCTGTTGAGCATTCATGACTTAAGATGTCAGCCACAGGTCTCTTACCTTTGGAGGCTTGAAAGGATATTCTGGTGTAAATGTGATGTCAAGGAAGAAAACGCCTCCCTCATAGACTGAACCTGGAGGTCCTAGAATGGTTGATCTCCATTCGTAGATGTTATCACCTTTGGGGCCAGCGCTAAGAGATAAAAAAAACCCAAATGGTTTAAGAATATTACCACAATTAAATAAACATGACCTCTTACATTCTTCAAGTATGCTACGGAAGAAAGTTTTCAGTGTTTCACTTCATACACCACCTGAAGTAAAGACAGGGATTAAATGTAGATTGAATGCTTCCAAAATCTCAGAGGTCTTACCTGGACTTAGTGTTCCAGACTGCTTAGCAAAGCTGAGAAACTAGAGGTGGGGTATGGTTTTCAGCTCCTCCTGACCTTTGTAAGAGCAGCACTGCTCAGAACTACTCCTAAACATGCTACACAATCTCAACACAACAGAAAAGTTAAGTTTCAAAGAACAATTTCCTGCTGTATTTCAGAAATGGCTCTTCCGGCTCAGCCTTAATAAAACTGCACTCCATCAAAGATCACAATAAATAAATTAAGGACTTCCATTGATTTTATTAATCTTGTGTGTTCTTTAAAATAAAAATATATTCCTGTAGCATTGCTAAACCAAGGCTTACAGTATAATTGAAAGAAGCCAAATACATGATGATACTCTTAAAAGTCAAAATTGTCTACACTTTTATCATTTTGCTACACTGATTTCTAAAACAAGGCCACATGAACTCATCCTACTGATACTGTTTGTATTGTGGAATACAGAATTACTGCTTCTGTAAAGGGAATTAAAGTCACTGTGTCAAATTAAAACAGGGCTTTCTCAAATCAACTTTGTCTAATTCTAGATTTTCCCTAACCTGCCAGCAGCTCACCAAGAGCAGTACAAACTAAAGGTGTTGCAGAACACAAATGTCTGCTTGTTGAAAATCAGTTTTACTGAGATCCTCAGACACTTGTATTCTCTAGCGTGCCATATGTCACTGAGTATTTCCAAGTACAGCTCAACCTATAAAGCCATTAATGGTTTAGGACTTCATTGCTACCTCTCTTTCTGTGCTGCTATGGTAGTATTTTATCTGTAAGATGCCAGAGCTGAAAACTCCCTTTGCATATAGGGAGGTGCTGACACAGCTTTTTCCATCGTGGATGTGCTACGACTGTGGAAGTTTCTTCTCGCCTTGTTCTGTAAGGGGCTGGATTTTAACATCCCTAATACAATGAAAACCAGCCTTCCTCTTCTTTCCCCATTCTTTTAATGAGGCTAATACAAGACAGAATGATTAAAAAAAGAGGCCCTTTTCATATTATAACAATTATGGAGCAGTATTACTTGAGAGGGAAGGCAATCCAATAAATTCCATACATGCATGACAATATGCATTTGATTAATGTGAAGGGAACCAGCGTAATTGCTAGGTGTTAGTAACACTGTTACAAATAGAAATACAATTACAAAAACATAAATTCTCACTGTAACAACAGGCTCAGAGACATGCTTTTTTCCCCTGCTCTTTGCAGTACTGGTGAACATGTTCTCGACAGCAGGGGAATCAGGAGAGAGAAAGAGTTAATACTGTTATCAAACCTAAAATTTTATTTTCAGATTAAACTACAAATAAAGGTTCACAATATGTTGGTGCTAAATAGTTCAACAATAGTGAGGCTATGACTAAATCATGCTTCCAGGGGAAGGAAAACATGTAAGAAAGCAGTAAAGGGAGACAAGTTCTCTGCAAAGTGATGCACCAGGGAAAGATTTCCCACCAGGGAAAGATTCCTCTCCTCCGAACACAAAACCCTGTGCAGCTCAAGATCGGTACTAAATTAAAGTAAAAGCCATTCCATCCTGAACACTCCTGGCATCCCGCTCCACCTTAATGACTTGTCCCTGTCCTATGCAGGTCTATATATTTGGGCACTCAGTACTCTCCAGCTACCACTCGTGCATTAGACTGGAAGAGCATCGTATTTCGACAGGAAGCTCTAACTCCTTGAAAGACACCAGCTTAACTGTGCAATCTTACTGAAAAGGACTCTCTGGGGTACCCTCAGCCACCACTCCAAGGAATCACCTCTTTATGTACGTATTAGCAACCCACTGACACACTGTCATTACTCCAAGTTGCACCGGCAATCATCCTCCCCTCCCTGCCCTAAAGATGGAGCTACTGAACCGAACAGGTACTTGAGCTTTGTTAGCACCGATTTACTGTTGGAATTTATATCACAAGGACTGCCAACTGGGAGCACTTCAGCACTCAAGAAATGTGATGTGCGATTAGCACTGAATACAGCCCTCTGAACCAACGAAAAATATTTCAACAGTTTGCATTTCATTTCCAGCTTCAACCTAAAGGACTGTCAATAAAAAAAAGATCCCACAGACTTAAAAAATAACATATTATTATTTGTAATAGTTTTCGAAAGCTCTTGTATCCTATTAGGCTTCCAATTAGAGCTATCACTGCATGCAAGTAACATACTGCTAGACCTCCGTATTAAGAGTACAACATCTTTGTAAGACATCAGTAGGCTTTAACAGTGATGTACTAAGCTTACCTTTTAAGCTTTTCATAATTCAATTAACAGAGTGAAATAGCTGTAGATGTCCAATTTTTACATATTAACATTGATTTTTTATCAAGCAAAGACTGAAAGACAAAGATGCAAGTCAGTTTCAGAGTGCTCAAATTTAATTTAGGATTAGGTAATACCAAGGAGCTCAAGAAGACCTAGTGCATAACAGAAAAGTGACAATACTGGACCACAGCATAAGTGCAGCAGCATTAACTTTAGGTGGATATATAAAAACTGTCAAAGGTTAAAGATTACATTCTTTGTTTAAATTCCTTGCAGTTATCTGCTTCAAAAAGAAATTCACTGATGCACAGATACAGGGCTCACAGGCACACCTGCCACCTTGCCTGATGTGCATCACCACTGCTCAAATTAAGTGTCTAGATCTACTAATGCAATATTTTGAAGCTGTCCAACAGATGACCACTGGGAAGACAATTTTAACCAATTAAATAGAAATTGTTTCCACTGCAAGACAAAAGTATGAGAGCAACAACTTTCTGTATCAAACTCAATAGTCCACAACCTCTTCACTTCCAAAGAAAGGAGACAAAACAAACAGTCATATAGAGCAAAAGATGACATCTGAAAGAAAACTGAAAAAAATCCCAAACCATCTTTATCATATCAGGCAGCATGTGTTACACAGCAGTGCAACTCAGATGTCTCTTCCCTGGAAAAATAGTGATATACTCAGTGAAGATGTGCTGCACCCACTGTAACAGCTGTTCCTGATCATTCCCAAGTTGCTGCTGGCTTATCCTCAGGACAGCTGTTATGACAGTAAGGCCCTCAGGAACCTGCCCAGTGCCAAGGTAGTTTTTGTTCAAGGACTACGTAACTTCCCAAGTCCAGAAGCAGCAGTCTGAATCCTCCTGGTAAATGCAAGGCACAGAGAAAGTGTCAGCGCAAGTGAGACCAAGCTCAAAGTTCTGCCTGGGCTAAGTCCCAACCAACCTTGTGTGGTTTTGGAAAAACCTCATCTTGCTCTGCCTCCCTTTGCTGGCAGGCACCGCGGTCTTTCTCAACTTAAAAACCAAACAGGTAAATTAGAAATGCCTGCTGGGGAACAGAATGATGCCTAGGTAAACTGTCTGCATGCTCAGATGCCTTGCAGTACTGAGCAATTGTAAACTTAGGACTGTCTCAGAGATCAAGTGGTCATGGAGAAGACACACACATACACACACTTTTTCAGGTATTGACTGAAATGACAGATAGTCTGCAAGAACAGCCAGCCTGTGGCTTTTCTGTATTAAGCCAGCCAGATACAGCCTCCACCGCAGGCCTGCACTACGTGATACCACCCTGATATTTTGCACACACAAACTCAGCTCCCACCTCTGCCTGGCACCCCATGGCAAATCACTCAAAGTACGCATATGCCATGGAGGGAAGGCAGGATTTTTCGGTGTTCACCACATATAGCTAATGTACAAAAACCCCTGGGAACACACTGCTGGTACTCTCCAGCAGAATGACTCAGAAAGAGCCCACTGTTTATGTCAACTTGCTCGTACATTTGGAAACTACCTGGTCCTTTCTAGGAGCTGACCAAAAGGCAATATAAGCTTTTCCTCCAGTGAAAATACAGCCTAGCGAATACTTCAGCTCCTCTTCTTTGAGATACAGAAAACGCACAATAGCAGATCACTGTAGTGATAAATGAATCAAAATCAGTCAATGCTACAGACAGTAGGTTAATACCCTGATATACCAAAGCAGTGTATACTCCTTTTAAAAGCCAACTAATTTAGCACAGTAGTTTAAAAATGTCAGGAGACAGCTATCTGTAAGGGTGATGAGAAGGGCAATTTCATGGTATGCTGAAGTAAATAACAGCGAATTAAAAACTACAATATGTTTCAGCTAAAACCACAAGTAACAAAACCACGAACTCATACTCCAAAATGCTCCATATCCCCAGATGCTATTTTTGAGGCTATTTTACCCTGAACAGGAAGAGTATGATGCAAGTAGCTAAGCTGTTTTGAAGTTGCACACTTGTGGAAAACAATTATAATTTCCAAAACACTGCAGACATGACCTTTTCCAAGGGACATAGCTCAAATCCTAAGCTGAACAACATACTAACAGCACATAGGAATTCCAAGGTGGCCGAGAATCTAATGATCTCCAGCATAAAGCTGAGCCGTTACAAAGAGATAGCAACATCAATTTTTTTTGTTGTTTTATTTTGTAGTAAGCAGCAGTGAATGACTGAACATGGAATTGCATGTCAGTCATGTACACCTCACCTTACTAGGCAGCTTTAGGAAATATTTAGTTGATTGTTAGAAGGCCTCTTTTTTTTCCTTTCTTTTTTTCTCCTTTTTTTTTTTTAAAAAAAAGATGCAAGCCCAAAATTCATTAGAAATTTTGACTGGCAGGCATACAGCATATCATTCTCACATGAAGTTCAGGTGCACTTTGATTTTCTCTCCTAATCCACCTCCATTCTGACCTCAGGGTAAATATGCTGTCTTTTCCGGTAGTCCACCAAGTGGGTCCACGCTGAGCTTGCTCACCTACATTG